CATCAGAGGGGATGTGTGCACATCCTGTGGGGGTGTTAGGCATGCTGGGTTGATGGAAGTGCGGTGGGAACTTGTGTGCGCCTTGGTTTGCAACTGTTGCAGGCGTGGGAGGGTGACAGTGTGCTGGGGGATGTTCACATGCCAGGGGAGGGATGTGCACACCAGCGACCTCTGGCTTTGCAGATCCACAAACCCCCCTGGTGCGGCCAGGAGGATGTCAGTCTGGCCCGTCACGGCAGCTGTCCCTGCAATCCTGCACCTTCTGAGCCAGGAGGCGGATCTTGTGCAGCCACTCCTGGGCTCTGATGGCCTGCAGGCGCTACTTCAGCTCAGCCTGCAGGCTCCGCTTGGCACACTCACAGCTGTCACCACTGCCATGTGGGGAGTACAGGCCGCCCTCTGCTGGCCTGCCTCCCCTGTCCAGAGGCTCTCTGCGCTGCTCACCTGCCCAGAGTGACTGGGGCTGGGTGGAAGCCAGGCGTCCTGCCCTACATAACCCCGGCCAATCCGACCCTGGGCGAGCTGCCGCCCCGCCGGGAAGGGTCACGGATCTGGGTCCCGGGACCGCAGACAGCCTCAAGCACTGCCGCCTGCCTGGCAGGGTCACAGATCCGGGTCCGGGGACCGTGGACAGCCTCAAGCACTTCCCCCCACCCAGCAGTCCAATGCAGCCTGCCACTCCTGCTCCTGCTCATCCCGGCCCCGCTGCACCTGCCGCTTGGTAGGCTCACTGTCACTGCTGTGGTCTCTGGGCTGTGGTGACCAGCCATAAGCCCTGTATCTGGAGCCCATTGGTCAGCTGAGCAGCGCTCCCACTGTGGGAGCGCACTGACCACCAGGGGGCAGCTCCTGTATTGAGCGTCTGCCCCTGGTGGTCAGTGTGCATCATAGCTACTGGCTGGTTGAATGGTCAATTGGTTGCTTAGGCTTTTATATATATAAACTAGTAGCCCAGTGCACGAAATTCGTGCACTGGGATGCGGGGAGGGAAGGGGCCCCTCAGTCTGGCCTGCACCCTCTCCAATCTGAGACCCCTCAGGGAATGTCCAACTGCCTGTTTGTGCCCACACTTTTAACAGATAACAGCTCCATTGTTGTTTCTTTCTTATGCTTAAAACCATTGGAATTAGTAGGTATTCAAAGTGTGTATACATTTTGGGGGGACACCCTGTATATCTCTAGTCAGCAGTGAAAGAAACCAA